AGTATAAGCCGAGCCGGCTTTTTTCAGCCCAAAAAGTGGGCTGAAAAACTCGGCTTATACTCGAGTATATACGGTATCTGTGTATTCTAGCCATGTCTGTTCGTTTGGACTATCTGCATTGCTTCGTTTGAACTATCTGGGTTGCTGCAGAGCTACTCTATTAAACGTGAGTTGCCTGGGCCCTCAGCCAAAAGATTCATTATCTCAGTAATTGAACAATGGCAAACAGCCAAGCCTGTGTTCTGGTTTATTTACAGGCAGTGGGGTCAGAACACATACATACAGAAATGCACATATTACTATATGAATTATCTTCCAGCTAGAAAACATGTCAAAGAAGACTTTTAATTCAAGGTATTTGCATGTGCTAAAAGCAGAATATTATCAAAATAAATGAATAACTACAGCTCAGTGGGATAAAAGTATAGACATCCAGAAAACATTCTATTTGAAAGTAGAGGAATAGAAGATTTTGTGGGAAAGTGTCTTTCAAAAAGTCATTTGTGGAATGATGAATAAATGATAGGAAAGGATTCTCCCTCCCCTTCCCCAAGTTCCATAAAAATATGAGGACGACAAAAAAAAAGAGGCCACAAGTAGGGACAAGGCTTTTAGAATCTGTTTAATTTTAAAATGTTTGGGTTGCAGTGGTTTTTTTTTATTTTTCCATAGTATCCTGAGACCAGAATGTCTATGTCAATATTTGCAATAGTTTAATCATCAACATATAATTTCCAATAGCTTTCTTTCCTAGCTTTTGTAGCAGTTCTAAATAGCATTTTCCCCTTCCTAATCAGGTAAGAGAACACAACATTTCTAATTTTCTGCATACACAAAAAAGCAGACTGTTTCTTTTAAAACTGCCTGTTCCCACCCTCTTTATTTTGTTCCTCTTAATATGTATCTGGTTTCCTGAGTGACAAAGTTTCTGTTATTCAGTGCCAATTGTTATTTGATGAAATGAGCATAATCAACAGCTCTCAGGACAAAATGAAATGCAATCTGTTCTTGTAAGGGGCCCCTTACACACTTCATTTTTAACAGGAGATTAAAAGAAAATAGGCCTTATTTGCTTGCACTACTATTCTTCAGATGTTTCCTCACTTGGACATATTGTATATGTAGCCATTGCTAGTGCATCAGATGATCTATCTTCCTCAACATGTTAATTTTTCCTTAAAAAGCAAAATACCTGGGTTATTATTCCAGTACAAATAATTTATGATTTTAGGAGATATGACTTTTATTCTCTTTATTTCTAGATCTGTAGCCTTCTCTGCTAGTCTCCATCTTTGTTTTTCATATGCACATAATTTTTATTGTTCAGTTCTCTCTCTCGTCTCAGTACTTGAAGAATATTTTGTTTAGTCTTGTTTTCTATGTGTAGGTGACTGTCTCCAAATCAAGTATATTCTACTATTCACTTTGGGTATACAATGGCTAGAATTTCCTTCGGGCCAACCTTGATTTTCTTAATCTGCTGCTTCATCATCTTTTCACATTCGTTATCAGGTACCTATTATTCATTAGCAACAGTCACAATATGGATCATGTATTAACAAGCATAGTTAATTTTTAAACTCATATGTTTCTGATTGTTACCTTAAGAATAAAAGTATCTATTTTACTTTCATAAGTGTTGCTTTGAGATAAATTTTGGAAATGAAACTCAATCAAATGTTTCATTTATGGATCTCCCACACCCCATATTTAAGCCCTGGAGAAATAACCAAACATATCCACCAGTTTAGCCCTGCAGTATTCAGTATGCTCAGTATGAATATAAATATATATTTACCCTGAATTGAGGAAACTGGAATCCTTAGTGATACATTACTGTTTATCTACAGTATTTATGAAAAAAGAGAAGGCAAACCAGGTTCTGAGGATTCAGAAACGTGCTAACACTTTTTTGGAGGAGATTCTCCCAGGAAATTTGGAGAGAGAATGCAGAGAGGAACAGTGTTCATTTGAAGAGGCAAAAGAGATTTTCAAGTCAAAGGAGAAAACGGTGAGCAATGGAAATGGGGGACATCTGACTATTTCTTGCAAATGTGAAATATCCCACAGAAACTGCTGGTTCCTCATTGTTGTTGTTTGTCCTTTGAAGTCAGGATACCTGGTGTTGACATCTGGTAACTGGCTGGACAAGTTCTTTTAGTTTTCTTGGCACGAGTTTTTTCAGAAATGGTTTGCCATTGCCTCCTTCCTAGGGCTGAGAAAAAGTAACTGGCCTAAAGTCATCCAGCCGACTTTGTGATAAGGTAGAACTAGAATTCACAGGTTCCTAGTTTCCAGCATGGTGCCTTAACTACTACACCAAATTGGCTCTCAGAAACCACTGTAGTTATTGTTGAAACATTTAAAATTAACAGAAATTTGGTAGAGCATTAAAATCAGTAAATACAAAATTACACATACAGTGCTTGTCTGCTGGTCAGATTCACTGGTTTGAGCTGGGCAGTTATACAAACTGAATAAATAAGTTAAATTCAAGGGGCAGCAATCCTCTGGCTTTCAGTGGCGGGAATAAATAGTTTGATTTCTTTAAAGAGTCAGCAAAAAAATCCTCACGTATTTAAAATTGAGTTCTATATATACTTTTTCAGCTGAAACCATGATTTCCTATCATTCGCCCTTCACCTCCTACAGATCTTACAGGATGTCACACGAAGGTGTGGGAATATTTTGGCCATTTTTCTTATAGCCCAAATTCTCTTTGAACAGGTCAACTGTGCTATATATAAGGAGGAAATGATGATCTGGGTTAGCTACAAGATTATGGAAACTATATTATTTTTTTAATAGAAGATTGGTTCAAAAGTCTTAACTGAGAAAAAAAAATTCTGCACTCAGCAAATTGCTCCGAATGCCAAATCTGTTCAGTGCCCAGACTAATCTCGGTATGCTTGATTACACTCGCTTTTTAGCTTCAGTGACATAATTGAGGCTGAAGGAGAATCACTTCAATGAGACACCTCCAGGCACAGTTAACAGCATTAATAAATAAATAATAATTGCAGCTAGTAAGTAGAGTCTTACTTTGGAGCAAACTGCTGTTTAAGTTACCACAGGCCCTTTCCGTAATACAATCGACTGTCTTTTTAAAAAATCCAGGCTTTTTAGAGTTTTTATCTTTACAATCCTCTTTATGTATATGTGTGAAAGTTAGAATAATTCAGAAGTGGGTACCATATATATTTGTATTTGTCAATAATAAAAGATTTACATTCATGATGCAAATCCTCAGAGCCAGATCCACTTTTTGTCCAAAACTTTTCCATAGAACCAGGTTGATTTTAAATCATAATGTGTCTTAATTACTTACATTGAGTTGTTTAAGTTAATTTATAAAGGTACTTTGGCCTAATCACATCTGTTTTTATTTTTTATTTATTTTGCAGATGGAGTTTTGGTTCGATTACAAAAGTAAACATTTTATTCATTTTCTATGTATTCTGCATAAATAATTGTTCACTAAAACTTAAAGCTTATGCTAACTTTGGCCCCATAAATCTTGAGTTTTTATACATTTTGAAATCTATTGAAGATTTTGCTTTTGTTCTGGCAAGAATTTTGTTTGCATGATAAAATTATTTTAATGTATTTTTCATATAATGAACTGTTACAGTTTTCCTCCTTTGCTCATTAATCTACTGTATTTTCATATTTCATTGACAATACTATTTGTGTTGTTGTTTATAATTTTAATATTTTAGATTGTGTAGTCTGTTATTGAAACTGAAATGGGTAAGAAACTACTTTTATGCATAAAAAAGAAATTACTCTAAATACTTATCTGGATTTGATTTGTATCATCAAATCTCTTTTTCCAAACAGATTCCAACCCCTGTAAAGAAAATACATGTAACAATGGTGGCATATGTAAGGTCAAACACTATACATATTCCTGTACATGTCCCCCGAGGTATGGAGGAAATCAGTGTGAAATAGGTGAGTGAAGTATAACATTAGCCGATCTGCTATTGTTGTAAGAATCTACTACCTTTTGTGGTAGCTTTCTAGCCTGGTGAGACTTTGTTGGCCAAATGTCATACCAAGAGAGCCAAGGTGGCGCAGTGGTTAAATGCAGCACTGCAGGCTACTGCTAGATCAGCAGTTCAGCGGTTCAAATCTCACCGGCTCAGGGTTGACTCAGCCTTCCATCCTTCTGAGGTGGGTAAAATGAGGACCCAGATTGTTGGGGGGCAATATGCTGACTCTCTGTAAACCGCTTAGAGAGGCCTAAAAGGCCTATGAAGCGGTATATAAGTCTACTGCTATTGCTATACCAGTGAGAGAAATAAAGGGGTAGTTCAGAGCAGTGGTCACCAACTGGTGGTCCGCAGAGAAATATTTGCATTTCTCTCGGGGAGCCCAGTCGAAGTTTCCCGCGCTGCTCACACTTCAGCACTTTGACTCCCAGGGACAGGATGAGGTCCTTCAGATAGTTAGCTTGGCCGCCTGTTAGCAGAGAGAAATGCCCAGGATTAACCCTAGCTTTGTTGTCATTGTCACAGGACTGGCCCTTTGGTCATCCCAGAGCAGCTCTTTCACCTGGGGAGCAGGGAACTCCCCTGCAATCCAGTGCACCCGGGTGGAGGAGCTGTTCCGGGATGACCAAGGGGCCGTTGTGTGACTACTACAGCTCTGGAATATGGGACCAACTTTCCCACCAACGTCAGCAAGCCACAGTCAGTCTGCTCGTCTTCGTTTTCCTTCACTCAGATTGACCAAGCTTCTGGATCAATACAAAAGAGGTTTCTAGGATGTGTGACTGGACCCGGTGCTTTCTCTCAGGCCTCCCATCCAGAGCCTTGCAGCGCAGACAGGCTGAATTCCCTAGTTGCATATCACAGAGTCCGAAGTTGGTGCTATAGAAATATATTTCTTTTTAATGTATATAAATGGGTTGCTTTTGTTCTAAATGGGTTGGTGTTCCCCTTCTACTTGCTAGTAAGATGATAGCCTGTGGGAGTCTTCTCTCACATACATGGGGATTGGAGAAAATATCAGGTAGAGCCTCCCATCCCCTGGAAAGTAGGTGGTGATAGCAACTAAGCTGCTATGTTAAGGCAGAGGGTAAAGCTGGAATCAAAGGATTCTGGGAGAGGTGGTGTGAGATGCCAACTTTTCTCTTAGGGATTAAGTCATAATACTAAACACCATAAACTGGTGATCCAGTAGAATCTAGAGAGCCAGTTTAGTGTAATCCAGTGCTTGAAGGCACTTGACTAGAAACCATGAGATGTGAACACTACTCCTGTCTTAAGTATAAAGCCATCTGGATGATACTGAGCAGCCACTGTCTCTCTCATCCCTAGGCGGTAATAATCGCAAATAATTGCCAAGAAAACTGCATGGATTAATTCAAAGGTGCATGCACACCCATGCACACACACAAACACACACAAACACAAGAATAACTTGAAGATCCCTCTACTAATTTTAAAAATGATAAATTGTGATTTGGGTTCCCACTACTGATAGCCTATTATTACAGGATTACAGTCTGCTGGAGAGAGTAAGTAGTAATCACCCAAGAACTATCCCCTGTCTCCAATGTAGAGAAATTTGAATGCTGGTACAAAAATGGAGATTGTTGGCAATATTGTCAAGATACCGAACATTCACGTCGTGTGATCTGCTCCTGTGAAGCAGGATATACGCTAAGTGAAGACGGGAAGGGTTGTACGCCCTCAGGTAATGCCTCCTCTTACTGGTTTAAAAATGTGGGTTTAGAAACTAAATGTTCTAGAAGCCCTTTTCAGTCTGGTTTTCCCTAAATGGGCTGATGTTATGGTTCCTGAATTTCCAACCAGTCAGCATGAAAAGCAACAGATTGTCTACTTTAGATGCATGGACCATGATTAGGTTGAATAAATCAACATAAATAAATGATTATGTATTATGTTAAATAAAATTTGACCAAATTTCCTCTTTATATGTAGAATAAGCACTCTGTGAATGCTTTAAATGTTGAATTCATTTTGCCCCACACAGCTGACGTAAGTGAGCAGTGGCAGCTCAGGATTACCTACTTAAGTATATTTAGGGGTGTTATTTAGCTAGTTCTATAAGTAATTAGAGGTACCAAGACTTCTCAGACATTTTCCTTCAATGCAAGCAGGAAGGTTGCCTACATCCATACATAGGTATTTACCATAATTTAACTTGTTGCTTCTTGATTCCAATGTAGAAAAGATAGCAAGAGAATTAGTAGGCAGAAGGCAATTATAAAGCTGCAGTTATCAAATAGAACAACTTGGGGAGGGGAGGATCTCATAACTTGTTTTATAACCTAAAAATATTGGCCAACTGGAATATTGTTAACATGACAATTAATGGGAGAATCTAGCAATTATTGGAAGTTCATATTCTGGCTGGCTATTGGTACTTTTATCCATCAGGCATACTTTGATTTTTCCCAGTGTTTGACAAGTTACCTTCATTTTTTTATGTATTTATGTATGCTGTAGAATTTTATACAAAATAGAAGACAAATTAAAAAAGGAACAAAAAAGGAAAAGAAAGAAAATAAGTTTTGAAATGTGACTTTTAACCTTCAACAGATAATTAATTACAGTCTAATAATCTTCTCTACCTCTTAAATGTTACACAAATTCTTTTACTTCCTCACTTAGTTGATCTTTTAAAATCCTCAAGCCCATAAATCATCATATAACTTTTTTTTCTTCTTTCAGCAAAATAAATAAGGACACAACGTAAATTAAGTACAGTTACCCACACTGTTTAATCTCCCTGACTTTAGATCGTTTTCCTTGTGGGCTGATTAAGCGATCCACACGTTCTTATGAGCGAGGAAGAGTCATACAAAGTGAAACGAATGCTCATGAGAACATGACCAACTGGAATCAGACGTTAAGTTGGGCTTCCTCAGGATGGTTGAATCTCACAGCAGAAATTGAAGATGACATGGAAAAGCTAGAAGGAAATTTCACAGAGGAGGATTTACTCAGATGGTCAAATATTAACTCCACAGATGAAGAAAAAACCAGAATAATTGGGGGATCTTTCTGCCGCCCAGGAGCATGTCCTTGGCAGGTAACACTATTGCGCTTAAAGGATTTGATAAAATAACCTCATTTTACAGGATATTGTTAGAATTGCAGGGTCAGATTCCTCTATGAAGCAGCAGGGTGCAATCTTTTTCAATGGAATTTAATTCTGAGTGGCAAGCTAGGAGATGAATTCCAAAACACAAAGAGAGACAGAACACAGAAATTGGAACTCTCAATAGTTCATAACTATCTCCTTATATTCAAGATATTGAGGCTCAGGTCACGAATGTTTCCTTTCAACAAGCACAGTACCAACAGGACCTCTAAAAAATCATCCAGATGTGTCCTTAAATGATACCTTTGCCTTCCAAGGGAGGACAACTGACTGTAGGTGCTGTCCTTTTGTATAAATATTGGAAAAAGGAGGTTTACAATATTGTTGTGGGCATATGAAGAAATGTGTTGCTTCACATCCCTGTATTTTTGTGTATGATGATTGACCTCTGATTCAAAGCTAAATAATTCAAATGAGAGTGTAGAAAATTCATACAGATTTGCAGTTGGGTTAGACAACAATTTCTTTTTATTTTTCTTCCTAGGTACTGATTCAAAATAATAGAGATTACGGTTTTTGTGGGGGCAGCTTGATCAGTAGTCAGTGGGTACTTACTGCAGCACACTGTTTTGACAACATTATTCCACACCACGTTACAGTGGGTAAGTAGTAGAGACGCAAACAAAATTACAGTCTTCTAATGCTTGTTTCCCCCCACAATGTATTCCTGAAGAAATAGTAGATTCTCCTGTTCTGATATCACATTCCTGTTGTAAAAAAATATATGCATTTCTAACCTTTGAAATTATAGAAGCAAACATACACCTTAATGTTTCTTAGCTTCACTACCCAGAATTCTCCATCCAGGAAGTCAACACATCTTAAAGTTGAGATTGAGAAACATTGATATATTTTAATTAATGTTATAAATTGCTACTCTTACCTGATTATTTACTGGCCTGAGTATATTATGCAGGTGTACTTGATTACAGATCACCCGATTTGCCAAGGCCTTGGAGAGAATTGCTACCATAAAGCCATTTTCTTTCTTTTTGATCCCTTCTGGATTTATTTTCATTACTATCATTGTTCTTTTGTTTTCTGCTGTTTTGATAGTTTTTTTATACATATTATTCTTTTTTTTAATGTTTACCAATTGTAAACTGCCCTGAGTCCCTGGGAGTTGGGCAACATATAAATGAAATAAATTATTATGGTTGGTCACACAATCAGCCAAATGTTTTGACTGGATTATTATGGTTGGTCACAGTTTGCCCAAAGTTTAGACAGGATTTGATTTTTAATCTACTTAGTGAGTCCTTTCTAAGGACCTGGGATAGGCAGAGGTTGTTGCTTGATGGTGATTTATTTATTTATTTGTATTTGTTTATTTATTTATGGAAATGTAGATGACTACCCAACTCACTCTGAGTGACTTCGGTCTTAAAGGTATCATCACATGATATAAACTGTTCTAAGTAAAGTTGCCTTTTGCAATTGTCTGATGGTAATTTTGTCAATGCTGATGATGATGTTCAAATGGTGCTCCAGACGTTTTGGGATTGTTCCCAAGGCTCCTAATACTATTGGTAATATATTTGCCTTCTTTTGCTACAGTCATTCTACTTTTTCAGTTTTCATATATTATTTCAGAGACATCACCTAGCTTGTTCTAGGACAATCCTTTGGGCTAATAATATAATGGTAGTATATACTGTATTCTTCAGTGGTGAAATTAATATTCTTTACTACCAGTTCTGTGGGCATGGCTTGGTGGGCGTGGTAGGGGAAGGATACTGCAAAATCTCCATTCCCACCACATTCCTGGGAGAAGGATATTACAAAATCTCCATTCCCTCCCCACTCCAGGGGAAGGATACTGAAAAATCTCCATTCCCACCCCACTCTGAGGCCAGTCAGTTCTCCGAACTATTCAAAATTTCCGCTATCAGTTCTCCAGAACCTGTCGGAACCTGTTGAATTTCACCCTGGTATTCTTCCTTTAAAAAAACCCCTAGTAATAAATTGGAAGTACCAGTGGAAGAACAATGATAATGTGACCAATAGAAGACAATATCATTTCACTTTCCCATAGAGTTCTCTAAACAAGGTAAGACAGTTGTACAACGACAACTTTACTTAGAAGCCTCCTTGTTTTTGAAATGCCTAAGAAAAAAAAATCTGCATACTTTAAAGCATTTTAATGTACAGAATCAGTATTTCAATAACCAAATGACACTATTTCTACTTGGATCTAAGGCTATTCTTATGTTTTTGTTTTTCACTTTCCTTGTTTTCCACTGTCAATACCTGCTTAGATTTTTCCACACACTTTTATTTGCTTTTCAGGAGACTTTGACAAACATCAGCGAGAACGAGATGAACAAAAAGTAAGAGTACGGCGTCACTGGAGACATCCTCAGTATAACTCACAGAACTACAACAATGACATTGCTTTGGTCCAATTGACTAGCGATGTGATTTTTACCCAGAACGTACTTCCTATTTGCCTTCCTCGTCCTAGCCTAGCTAATGTGCTGATTGAAGGCGTAGCCCATGGAATAGTTAGTGGATGGGGTGCAACTCATGCTAAGGGTAAGTTAACTCGCTTTCTCATGAAAGTTAAGTTGCCTATTGTGAGCATGGAGACCTGTCGGCAGTCCACCAAGAAGCTCATTACGGACAACATGTTTTGTGCTGGCTATGATGGGGAAGGACAGGATGCTTGCAAAGGAGATAGTGGTGGACCTTTTGCTGTGTCTTATCACAATACTTGGTTTCTCTTGGGGATTGTCAGTTGGGGAGAAGGTTGTGCTGAAGTGGGGAAATACGGAGCTTATACTCTAGTACCCAATTATATTTCATGGATAAATGAAGTAATCGAAACTAATTCTTGAAGGTTTTTTTTTTTTTGCCTAACCTGCAGTGAAGGCCCATCTGTATAAAATATTTTTTTGTGTGTTTGGTAATATTTAACAACTTGAATAGCCAGGTCACATTGCAGGTTTGTTTCCTATAGCTTCTCTTAACTGAAATAAACAATTAAGTTGCCCTTTTCTTTGTATAGAAACAGAATTGTTCTATAAATCTGCATCCAATTCAGATTTAAGCATAAGCAACTGGATAAGTAGAAATACTGCCTCAGTCCCTCCTTCCCAAAGTGATTTTTTAATCCTTGTAAAAGGACTTCAAGGATACTGACAAAAATAGAATCACAGTGTCATGCCACAAGTTGTTTCTTTCATGTTTGAACAAGATCAGGATATGTGTTAAAAAGGGTGGGACTTGCATGGTGATTCCACAACTCTTTCATTATTCTGACCCTACCTTGAAATCTTTCCCCCTACCGCCACCTCCACAAATGCCAAGGGGTTGTGTGATCCTGCAAAATGCAGTAGGCTATGGTGGAAAAGGAAGAGCCAAACATTCAATTTGTGTTTATGCAAACATGCATAATTTGATGACTGACAAACCATTGTCATGGATTCCCAAAATACGTTTGAACTCTAAAATAACCAAAGATGAGAAACCTGCAGCTGCACGACGTGCCATATTTAGTTACTGTTACTCTTGAATACCTTTTTGTGTTGGCCAAAAAACACCCCGCAAAAGCATACAGCTGCAGATTTTTAATTGATCTGTTGTATTTAATTGATAGTTGTATCTCTTGAAATCTGTCCTATAGAGATAAAATGTAAATACATAAGGGATATTCTTCCACCCACTCCCGATGCCCGTGATTATAGTTCTTCCCCACTCATTCTCTGATGAATAGTATTTGGAAACATACTGAATGTGGAGGGAGTCTCAGGCACAAAATTGAATTATCCTGGAATGCTGTGCTGTGACTTGCATTCCATAAAGTGGATAGAGAGCCAAGTGAAAGAAAAGATTAGACAATTTGATTTCATTCCATTAATTGAATTTAATGAATGAATTATTTAATGAATAAAATATGGTTCATCTTATTACTTTTGGAGCAGTGTGCCTAAGGATACGCATTTGTATGGCTCATAATTGCAAGAATGTCAGTATTGTATCCTGCAGCGAGAGGTTAGAACCGTAGTGCCAACAGCAAACCACAAGGATGGCCAGAATGACAGGTGCTTGATGACATTAGACTTGCATTTTGGCATCGGATGCTCACCAGTCATGCCATTTCCATGACATTATTGTCAGGCAGATTTTGCCACTTGCTCCCCCACGCCCCAAGCTCATAACACTATCTACTTGGGGAACTCAGCCCAAGCTGATCTATTTGAATGTATCTGAACTACAAGAAAAAGCTCTCCCAATATGGAAAACAGGTCTACAGAACATCATCTTTTACATGGTTTAAGCAAATGGTGAGGGGAAAGATTTCAAGAAAGGAATGTTTCACATTCTTCAAATCATATTTCCAAATATAGCCAGGATTGGTTCAGAATTAGTCATGGCATGTAAGCAAAAATAAGTAAGCTTTTGAGCATTTTTACAACTGAACAGATTCGAGACCCTGTGACCCTAAACCTAACGCACCAGACAGCAAAACAGATTGCAGGAATTTCAATGAATCCACGTATTCCTATTGTGCTCCTAAACGTATTAATGACTCCAGATGAATTATTTTAATAATCGGCATCAGGCCATTGCAAGAGGCAGCTTTGTTTGGAACAGCTTGCATCCTGTGACAATATCGCTAACCCCTTCAAGTATTAATAGCTGTCAATCATTCCAGGTCGTTGAAAATAATCTGATGGATAAAATCCAGTCTGAACATCTGGCTGACTCTATAGTAGGAAATGGAATATCATTACTTCCAACTAGTGTTGCTTAAATGCATTCCTTCTGTGATAAGCATTAAAATAAATGAAAATGCATTTACAGAAGAGATAAAATAGATTATAAGGTTCAGAAGATTCTTAAACCCCATGACATAAGCATATTAAATGTTTAATATGTTCTTTCTTTCTCTTCAAAAATGTGATATATTTGTTCTAAAGTTCCGAAGGAAAAATATTTTAAAAGAAAAAATGGCTTATCATAGTATTTGATTAGTTAACAGAAATCTATATACAATATGTAAACAAACACACTTTACCTTTAATTATCAAAATATAATGTAATAATGCAAGCTCTTGCATTCTTTGAGGCTTCAGAATAGTAAAACTTCTATATACACATTCAATTCACAAAATATCACACAAACCCCACCTCAGAAACAGATTTTAATGTATGAGATTTGCAGCAATACAAGGTTTTGTCTGTACAAAGGAAACGAGGTCAGGGTTAAATAAAACCATAATGAACAATGTCCCAGGGTTTATCACCCTGAATCTACATGTATTACAATCAGTCGAACCAACAATTTGAAGATGCACTTAAAAACCCCAAAGTTTTTTTGTTTTTTGTTTAAAAATGTAGACATCTTCTGAGAGTCTATACAGGAGACCATCAAAGGTGATTCTGGGGAAGGTCACAATGGCATTTTATTGCCTTCAATGCTGATTTTTACAGCATGGGATGTTCTGCTTTTTTTCCTGATGTCTGTGAACTTCCGCATCTGTTTGTCCAGGCGACTGACACCTTTCTTCGAACTTGCCTGGAACTTGAAAGAAAACTTTCATTTAGTACTAGAACATTCATCAATGACATCTTGATGTTTATAAACCACAAAAATGTACATATGCCATCCCTTGTTGCAGTTGCTACTGTTCATTACAGCTGGTAACACTGTGAGGGACTCTCAATAGCTTACTTTCAAATGTAGTCTAGAGATGTATAAGATGTATTGTATGTTACAGATATACAAAAAAAGTGCTGCTTTTTAGGGGGGGAAATTCTGGACACAATTCTTTACATGCTGCTGAAGTTCAGAATCTAGATCGTGAATTTAAAAGTCAAGGATTAGCTCAGCTATTCAGACCTCATTCATGAGAGACGGATAGGAAACAAGCATTCCATACATCACTGGAGTGTGCAAAAGGGAGAGTTCACAGGAACATTAAGGACATTATAAGGAATCTATTAATGACTCTGATGTCTTAGGCCAGGTTTATTTTCTTTTTTTAATTTAACATTCAGTCTTGTTTCTAAGCATTAAAGGTAGAAAGAAATATTTAGAAGATTCTGTGATAAATATACAATTCTGACACTCATAAATGCACTGTTTAACAACTGGCTAATGACATAATTAATTATTCTCAAAATTTAATGCTATGTTTCAAAATGAAGTTCTTTTTCCTGTATTGGATAATTATGTTTTGGGTTTCCTGTTGTATATTAAAGCAAATAAAAATCTACTCTAAAAGATTATTAAGTCCGTAGTCTTTTGCAGAGTGGCTTGGTAAATACTGTACAATATGGAAAATATAACTGAGGATGAGAAAAAGGGAATGTTTATGATGCATCACCACCCCTAACTAGAATATTAATTTATTGAACCCCATTGGATTTCTTTCAACTAGCAATTTTCTGTCCAACAGTAGGTGACTAGAAACTCTTTGAAGGAAATGGCGTCTGTTGAGCTCCCAAGCAGCTATATTTTTCTCTCCTGTTTCCCTTTGGAAAAGTCTAATGAAATTAGAAATAATAAGAAACATCAGAATCTACATGTGAATGGGATTTTTCTTTTCTTTTTATGACTTGTAATCCCAGAGTGGCTGAATGGAACTGAGTGTTTACTGTCCGGATGCCCTTCCTGACACCTATGCAAAGGTTTGCAGCAGATATTTTCTCTTTGCACCCTGATAGAAACTTCTGTTGCTGCCTAGGACTGAACTCTCAACCTCCCAATTGTGAGGTGAGTGTCTGAACCTCTTAGCCACTTCTGCATGTGAATGGGATTCAAAACTATGAAAGTCCCTAGTATACATAACAACATATTGTATAAGACAAAAGAACAAGAAGTAGCGCATGACAAAACAAAGAATGTTATTAAACGGTTCCATGAGGAATGTTTTACAAATTTAGCTTACACAGTGGTACTCATGTCAACATGTACAAAATAAAACAAGAAGCAAAATGCTGCATTATTCATAGAAAATATCTCAAAATCTGTATTAGAACAAAACCTTTATTAAACCTTTTATCAAATCAAATAAAAGTTCTTGAGTTGTGATGTGAATTCCCAGGACTTTTGGGGGAAGATAGCTGACTGAAGACAGGAGTCAAGACAGCTCCACAGACAAGCGGAATGGACAATACAGCTTTGTACATGGGAGTGAAAGCAGACTAGTTCCCTTTAATCTTTTCTGGATCAAAGAGAACAATGTGAGATTACCCAAGCTGATTCTCCTTATGGCCATTCATTCTACTCACAAGGACACCACAAGACAGCAATCTAGTGTGAGAGCAGGGGGAAGGAGTCAAGAGACAGGGAATTCACCATTTTGCTCCAGCTGCAAACTAGGGCCTTTCAAGGACACAGGAATTTTTTTGAACAAATTTGTAATAAGGATCAACAATCATCTGAATGGGTCACAGAAAATAAAAATCTGTCTTACATAAAAAGAAACACACACACCCCTATAAAGTTTATGTATTTGATCAGGGATAAAATAGATGTTACCTTTCTGGGTGATTTTTTCTGGATTATTGATATCTTATTGGATTTGTCCAAAATGGGTATGATGTAGAATCTTCTTCCTATACCATTGTATGTAATTATAATTTTATATTACTTAAATTGGTTTTACATTTAACTGTTCTTCTTTAGTGAAAGTTAAGGAAATTTGGAGATTTTTTTTAAAAGGAGAAATTATTTCTTTTTGTTATGTTACCTTTAGCTTTTTTTAGAGTTCTCAATTTATAGGTATTTGTTTAGTGACTATTTAAAGTTAAAACAATACTGAAAAGTGTAACATAGAGCTTGGTTTTCACATGACTATTACAGTATTCCCATCGCCATGTGATCAAAATTTGGGGGCTTGGCAACTGGAATGTATTTATCACAGTTGCAGTGTCTTAGGGTCTTGTCATCTGTAACTTTCCAGCTTGTTTTCAACAAGCAAAGTTAATGCGGCATGCCAGATTCATTTAACAGCTGCAGTGATTTGCTTAAGAACTGTGACAAAACATTTGCAAAATAGGTGCAAATCACAATTAACAACTGTCTTGCTCAGCAACAGAAACCTTGGGCTTCATTGTGGTTTAGTTGAGGACTACTTGTATTAGGATAATGGGATTATTGTATATTTATGAAATGTAGATGCAGTGGTGATACGAAATGTGTATCTGAAAATAAGACATTATTTGTAATGTGCATTGAGGCTTGCTTTCTATAAATGAAAGAAATGGTCCCTTTTTGTCATGTTAAATTTGAGTTTTAAAATTTTCATTGTATTAAGAGGCTGGAACATTTCATGACTTTTAAATGGAATTTTGTTATAGTTAAGAGATGAGATGTGCAATGTTGAATATTTATACATTAATATATATAACATGTTAAATGTTAAAAAGTTATGAAATGGATCTTTGCTGGTAACTAGATTGAAGAAGATGTTTATTTAATTTGCCTATTGTTAAGAAAAGAGTTAGGACTATGGGGCCTTACTGTAATGAAATGGGCTGGGGAAGAAAAACAAAATTACCCATTTTCCAATAATAAGAATCCAAGCTAAGACACATGGCAACCTAAATTCATAGTTCTTTGGGTTATTCCCAGGAAAGCCTATTTCTCAATTACAGTATAATTAGGTCTGAGGAATGTGTTAGGATGGTGGAGTACTTTAGATGACATGCTGCTTCTTTTACGCCAGAAAATGTACAAAATCAGTTCAAACCAATCTTCTCAGGAATTATGTTTATAATAAACTACTTCATGCAAGGTAATTTGTCTAATGTTGAGATTAAGGAGATGAACATGTATTATATTTATCTATACTGTATTGAAATTTTTTTTCATCATTAAGAAATTCTGTTTAATTATTTAAATTCATACATGGCAATTAACCTTCTAAAGCGATTTTTTCTAGCATAATATTTTTATTTTCCAGAAGTCTTAGGTTACAATTACAATTTGCACCAATGAGGTGAACTGACTATTCAATAAAATTATTGATACTCATCTGGAATTAGTATGAGCTAAATTGGTAAGAATTGTTAGGATACAGTAAAAGCAACAAGTTGCAGCATGTGGAAAACTCACTGCCACAAGATAACGGTATATAAGACTGCTGTTAGTATCCTTACTGGAAAAAATGCGGTTTTTAAATGTCAACTCTTTTTAGTTTTTCAGTCACAAAACCCTGGAAACCTCAAAAACAAACAGTAGCAACAACAAAGCCCCCATGTATTAGTTATTTTCCCTGACCGGAAAAATTTAATGAAATCTCGGAGTTGCTGAAGACATGCCCTTTTGTCTAAATGGATAACAATGGCAAGCACTGCAGCACATGCACACTCTTTCAGGGATACCTCTTGGATCAGGGACAATATAAGGCTACAAGGGCATCCTGTTGCCTTCAATGCTGAACTTGACAGCTCGATGCATTTTGCTGAGACGTTTCTCTTCAGCAAACCGCCTCTTGTGTTTTTCCAGACGATTAATACCTTTTTTAAGAGTGCTGGGCTAGAAATTAAAGAATGGACTACTGATAACAGACAACACAATCACTTAACGATCATTTGCTTTGCCTTGTTTCACATATATTTCACAGTGCTCCGCAAATTTTTTAGGAATGTAGTGTGAATGGTATGCTTGGTTGATGTTTGCACCCACTTTTTAAAATTCATACTGTTGTATTTTCTGTGTTTAACTT